CCAATAGGCCTCTATCTAATGGCACCAATAGGCCTCTATCTAATGGCGCCCGTTCTCCTACCTGCGGCCTGCCTGTGCAGGCGCGCCTCCCTCTCGATGCTGAACGTCTCCTCCGGGTCCAGCGCGTCGGACCCGGGCCAGGGGGAGCCGGCTCGCCAGCGGCGGGACAGGGAGGAGGACCCGGGGCTGGCGCTGGAGGGGGGGGGTCAGCGGGGAGCTGGAGTCCTGCGGGTCCAGCCGGGAACCCAGGCGCAGGAGGTCCTTCTGCATGTTCGACGCCAGGTAGGGCAGGGGGGGGGAAATCCGCAAGGTGGACTAAAGAGGAAAGAGAGGTGCAGACACTTAGGGGTTAAGGAGAACACCAATAATAAGATGAACTGACCTGTGTATACAGGACTGTCTCAGAAACTTAGAATATTGTGATAAAGTTCTTTATTTTCTGTAATGCAATTAAAAAACATGAAATGTCATACGTTCTGGATTCATTACAAATCAACTGAAATATCGCAAGCCTTTATCGTTTTAATATCGCCAATTATGGCTTACAGCTTAAGAAACCCAAATATCCTATCTCAAAATATTAGAATATCTGATTTTTTATTTTTCTTCAGCTGTACGCCATAATCAGCGACATTAAAACAATAAAAGGCTTGCGATATTTCAGTTGATTTGTAATGAATCCAGACTGTATGACATTTCATGATTTTTAATTGCATTACAGAAAATAAAGAACTTTATCACAATATTCTAATTTTCTGAGACAGTCCTGTATATGTTGTATAGTTTTACTCTTGTTTATATTTTTATTATTTCCCACTGATTTTTATTTCAATTTTTTATGATCGTTTATAATGTAATATAATTTCTTCATGTGAGGACCCCAGGAAGACTAGTGGCCATTTATTTGGCAGCCAATGGGGATCCTATTAAAACTAAACCACTGAGAAGTCAGTGAATCTTTAGGAAGACATACGCTTAACCCTGTAATGCCAAATGTGTCATATTTGATTTATACGGTTTCTGAAATGTTTTGCATCTGACACCTTTTGCATAATTTAATGGTAAAAACTTTGCTCAAAATCCTATTGTACACAATCAGATACACCTGATAACAGGGGGCAGAAGACTACACGAAAAATAATCTTGACTTATCGCATAGTAATAAATTATTAAAAATGCATTTGTTTTTTCCTTTTACATATTTTGGTAAAAGGCGAAATAAAGACTTCAAACAAAAAAAGTCATTTTCTGTTTTGTTTTATTCTTGGATCAGGCTTTAAAGGGTTAACTGAGAAAAATAAGTGACTACTGACGTCAATCTGCCATTTGAGAAACTAAACACTTCCTGTACATACTTTGTAGGAGAGCAAAAGAGTGCGTTTCCAAACACCAAGGCAAATTCCTTGTAAGTCTAAAAACTTACTTGGCAATTAACCTTATTCTGAGAGTCTACTCTTTCTTTTGGTGTGTTCGGTGTTTACATAGTCATAGCACAAACTATTCTGCGGGTCTTGAAAAATCAGTCAAAATGCTCAAAAAAAAAACTGGCAGTATGGGACTCTGTTCTGAAAATGGCTGCCAGTCAATGAGTTAAGATGGCAAAATTTGCACCATAACTTGCTTGTGACCTTTTCCCACTTGACAAAAACAGGTGAAAAAGAGTAAAAGCCGTCTTTTTACCAGCATGTCGCAGAGGTGGTCGGACCCGGAGCTGAACCCGCTGGTCTCAGAGTCCTCGGGGCTGCTGGAGCGGGAGTCCAGGAAGGAGCTGGAGTCCAGGCGGGTGGCCATGCGGGCCATGCCCGGGAACTTCTCCAGGAAGTCCGCCGTCATGCTCATGGACTCGTGGGGCAGGTAGCCCTGAGGCTTCCCCAGGATGCTACTGAAGGGACTGTTCAGGATGCCTAGCACTGGAGAAGATAGTTTCAGTTTAGGAGATATTTGGTTTGATAAAAACAGAAAAACATGCGTGAGCCCACAGAACTGGATTCATCTGTCCACCAACAAGTCACATACCAGAACGAGTATTTTAAAGTTGCCCATCTTAAATGTTTGTTTTTTTGCTTTTTTAAAATCACTGAGTCAGCAAAACAAAAAATAGTTTGTGCTGAATTTACAGTCTGACATTGGTTTAATAATTCCAGTTTATGAGATGTTTGGTTTGATAAACACAACAGAAAAACATGTGAGCCCACAGAATTGGATTAATTTGTCCACCAACAAGTCACATAACCAGGACGAGTGTTTTAAAGTTGCCCATCTTAAATGTTTTTTTTTTTTTTTTTTTTTTTTTTTTTTTAAAATCACTGATTTAGTGAGCTGAAAGGTGAGTTTGTGCTCATGGACTCGTGGGGCAAGTAGCCCTGAGGTTTCCCCAGGATGCTGCTGAAGGGACTGTTCAGGATACCTAGCACTGGAGAGGAAAATTATGTTTGTTTATGTTTATGCATTTGGCAGACGCTTTTATCCAAAGCAACTTACAGAGTAGACACAGTGGGGGAAATAAGTATTTGACCCCTTGCTGATTTTGCTGGTTTGCCCACTTACAAAGAATGCAACGATCTATAATTTTAATCATATGTACATTCTAACAGTGAAAGACAGAATCCCAAAGAAAATTCCAGAAAATCACATCATATGAATTTATAAAAATTGATAACCATCTGATGAGGAAAAATAAGCATTCTTTGCAAGTGGGCAAACCTGCAAAATCAGCAAGGGGTCAAATGCTTATTTCCCCCACTGTACAATATTACATTTATCCTCACTATGACAATAAGCTGTACAGAGGAGAAACACTGGTCAGAGAAGATAATTCCAGTTTAGGTGATACTTGGCTTGATAAACACAACAGAATAACATGTCTGAGCCCACATAACTGGATTCATCTGTCCACCAACAAGTCACATAACCAGGACAAGCATTTTAAAGTTGCCCATCTTAAATGTTTTTTTTTTGTTTTTTTTAAATCACTGAGTCAGCAAAACAAAAATAGTTTGTGCTGAATTTACAGTCCGACATTGATTTAGTGACAATTCCAGTTTAGGGGATATTTGGTTTGATAAACAGAAAAACATGTCTGGGCCCAAACAACTGGATTAATCTGTTCAACAACAAGTCACATAACCAGGACAAGTATTTTAAAGTTGCCCATCTTAACAAATAGGCATTTCTTAAATCACTGAGTCAGCAAAACAAAAATAGTTTGTGCTGAATTTACAGCCCGACATTGATTTAGTGAGCTGAAAGGCGAGTTCGTGGAGGGCATCAATGAGCCAGCTGGCCACCAACAACCAAAAAATGCTTGAGTCCATTAAGAGGAAGCTGGAGCTTTTCCAGTTTTACATTAGGAATCTGTGACTTTACAGCTACTTTTTCCAGGAAATAAAAATGTAAAGCTTCCCACAGACACTGCATGCTAATATATACGTTAATCCAGTGACTCAGGTCATTTCTTAATAGCTAAACTTTTGCCTGACTAGTGTCAGTCGGCCAATCAGAGGCAGGCATGTGCTGGATGGGTTGTAACAGTGAACATGGGGCTCTGAGGGGATTATTCAGCTGCAGGCTGCATTCAAAGCTCTGTCCCACTTTGTTTCGGGCCCAGCTTAGAAATGAAGTTCCACTGGGACGGTCTGGACATTTAGAAAAAAATATATAAAATAAGGTGCCACAAATGGGGTCAGAACACACGAGGCATCTTTATAATCAGTGGATGAACCATCATGGTGTCAGACCTCAGTGGAGAAGTGCAAGACCTATCTGTAGTTTTCTTTTAGAGTCCATGTAAGCAATAAAGAAAACAGGTTAAGAGCTTTCCGTTTGGCTGGTTTGAGAAAATGAAAGTAGCTTAAACTGGCTAGTTTTGGCCTGACTGCTTAGTAAGATGCAGCAAAGCAAAACTGCCACATCATCCTCCCCGGTGTCACATCCAGACAAACGGCCGCTAACCATCCAACTCATTTCCACATTAATGAGAGGATCAACATAAAAAGAAAAAGCCCTAAAGGTTTTGTAATCAGTTATGTACAAACAAACTGGGTCATGGGAACAAGCTCCCCCTCAACCAGCCCGGTATCTTACAACCACTTAGCTAGCAGTTCTGCTTTGAATTCTGATTAAAATCAAGTAAATACAGTAGGGGAAATAAGTATTTGCCCACTTACAAAGAATGCAACGATCTATAACTTTAATCATATGTACATTCTAACAGTGAAAGACAGAATCCCAAAGAAAATTCCATATCATATAAATTTATAAAAATTGATAACCATCTGATGAGGAAAAATAAACATTCTTTGTAAGTGGGCAAACCTGCAAAATCAACAAGGGTTCAAATACTTATTTCCCCCACTGTATATACACACACAATTCCACATGGGATATAGATAAATATATATACAGGTCTAAAATAAGTAGTAGTGATAGGAGTAGGAGCCTTTTAGTTAGAGCTTAGACCAACAAGGACGTTTGCAAAAATGTAGTACTATTACATTTACTAGTAGCACTAACTTGGAGCAAAAAAAGACAGAATCCCAAAGAAATTTCCAGAAAATCACATCATATGAATTCATAAAAATTGATAACCATCTGATGAGGAAAAACAAGCATTCTTTGTAAGTGGGCAAACCTGCAAAATCAGCAAGGGGTCAAATACTTATTTCCCCCACTGTAGCTAGAAGTTCTGCTTTGAATTGTGATTAAAACCAAGTAAATGGAAGGTAAAAAAACAACCAAAATAAGAGGTTTAGCACTCACTGGAGGGGGAGCTGGTCTGGACCTGGGACGGGGGGGTGTGCGTGTCCGTTTCCTGGCTGCTCCAGGGCCGGTCCCAGCCCGACAGGCGCAGGGACTGAAGGCCAAGGCCCAGGTCTGAAACATCCGTGGGGCCCCGGGACGAGGGCACCTCCTGGGGGCCGGGAATGATGCCTCCACACCCGGGGAAAAGCATCCTCCTGCTGCCCACCGCAGCCAGCTCCGACTCTGCACAGCCCCGGGTCCAGATCAGACACGTAGCAAGAGGAAAAACAAAAAAAAAAACAAAGAAATGAACAGGAGCGTTAGCCAAAAATAAGCAGTCGGCAACACACAGAAGAGGGCAGATGGAGGTCTGCAGACACGTTTTCTGAAAGGATAAATAAAACACTAAAAAAAAGCACAGCCTCCCACCCACACGTTTCCTCCGACTGAGCTTTTTTGGGAAAAACCAAAAGACAAACAGGACCGTTAGCCGGCCGAAAACAAGCAGTCGGTGACACACAGAAGAGGGCAGGCGGAGGTCTGCCAACTCGTTTTCTGAAAGGATAAAAAACTCAAATAAGCACAGCCTCCCCCCCAAATCCACACGTCTCCCACCCAATCCCCACGTCTCCCACCCACATCCATACTTCTAACCCCCAACATCTTTTTTGGGAAAAACAAAACAAAAAAACGGACAGGAGCATTAGCCAAAAACAAGCAGTCGCATTCACACAGAGGTCTGCCG